GGGGGGGGGGGTAGGAGGAGTGGGTGAAAAAGGGAAAGGGGTTAAGCTGTGCAAATTGCCAGTTCTAAAAACAATGAGGTAAAGTACAGCACAGGGAATATAGTCAATGATATCGGAACAACTATGTATGGTGTCAGATGGGTACTAGACGTATCAGAGTGATCACTTCATAAGTTATATAAAGGTCTAATCACGATGTTGTACACTTGAAACTAATATAGTATTGTATGTCAACTCTAATTGAAAAATAAAAATTATTTAAAAATAAACATCATACGAATGTGATTAAGGCTTCCCCTTATGCCAGCTTATTTGTTCAATGTTTTCCTTCCAAAGTGCACAGGGTAGGGTTTACTGAGACACCTACTGCATGAATTATCCTACCTTACTCACATATGCAGGGAGCAGCTTGTTAGACCAGACATAACGGCATTTTACAATACAACAGCCAACTCCTGGAGAAGGCAGTAATACAGAAAGCTGGCTGCTGTCCTCTGGGTTAGCAGAAGCTTTTATTTTATGCAGTTGCTATGTTTCTGGGGATGTGCTCACACTGCTGCTATTCAAATCCACATAGTAATATTTCATGTTATAACCAAGTTCTTCTGTGCAATGTACAGACCTTAAGAAATATCTCATAATATTTCTGGGACATGACATCCAAGTCAGGGACATAACCTCCTTGCCAAAGTGAGCCCGAGAATGTTTTAGAAACTTACCCCTTACCAAAGAACTCCAGTTAATGGCGCATCACTGATTCTGTTTAATCCCAGAGTATGCCCAAGAACATACAATATAAGACAATAGATGGGAAAAGTGAGGCCCAGTGAGGATAGTCCAGCTATCCAGCAATTCGGAGTTACCACACAAAAAAGCAAGGGCCTCCAGAGCCAGCCACTGTCTCTATAGCCTAGGATTTCTCAAGAGCAGGTTTACTGGACTTTATCATCCATTCCCATCAACTATCAAAATAGGAATGGTACAGGCCCAAGATATAGCATGTCAAGAATTACAAGATGCTGGTGACTCAGATGTTAACTGAGCGCTGTGTGTTTGCTATAGACTGAATATTTGTATCCTGCCCAAAATTCATATGTTTGAAACCTAAACCCTAATGTGATGGTATTAGGAGGTGGGGCCTTTGGGAAGTGATTAGGGCATGCCATGGAGCTCTCATGAATGGGATTAGTGCCCTTCTAAAAGAGACCACAGAGAGCTCTTTTTGTCCCTTCCTCCATGTGGGGGCACAGCAAAAAGACACCATCTATGAACCGGGAAGCCAGCCCAAAACAGACACTGAATCTGCTGGCGCCTTGATCTTGGACTTCCCAGCCTCCAGATCTGTGAGAAATAAATTTCTGTTGTTTATAAGCCACCCAGTCTATGGTATTTTGTTCTAGAAGCCTGAATAGACTAAGTGTTCTGATTACACCACTGTCATTTGCTGGTCATTTGCAAACCTTTCCTAGGCTATCCCACCTCTGTGCCTGTGCTCGTAGAGAAAGTCGTCATTCCACAGTTGGCCCCATCATATTGGTGAACCATGCCTTCAACAGAAGAAATATTACCAGATGTTTTGGACAGTGAATGTTTACATGCTAGAGCAGTAGGCTCAATGATGGTCACTGGGAACAGATACAATCACGAAAAATACAGGTTTAAGTTAGTTCTTTAAGAATGGATACAAATCAGGTAGATACAGATTAATGGACAGTGCATTCCAGGCAAAGGCAACTCTGTGAGCAAGGGCAGAAATGTACTTCATATTCCAGGGACAGTGAGCAGGGAAATATAACTGGGGTGCAGGGCTTGCCTGTAGGAGTAGACACCAACGATTCAAAAGACTGGCCAGGACTAGAACATTGAGGGCCTTGGATGTCAGGCCAAGAAGTTGGGATTTGAGTGTATGGACAATGGAATGTCATCATAGGGTTCTAAGCAAGAGAGTGATGTAATGAAACGGCATTTTAGAAACATTAATCTGGCACTGGTGTGTAGGACAGATTAATAGGAGTTGGAATACTTTTTCTTTAAAGGGCCAAATAGTAAACATTTTAGGTTTTCTGGGAAATACAGCCTCTATTGCAACTGCTCAACTGCAGTGAGAAAGCCCCACAACCAGCTTCCAACTGTTCGTATCCAGCCCTTCAGACTCAACCCTTGTGGTCATCACCCCAGCCATCCCTCCTGCCTTACTCTCACATCCGTTCCTTCTGTGTTCCTCATCTTAGTGATGACTACTCAAGTCAGGAATCTTAGTTGTCGCCGGAACTCCACTTTCTGGAAAGATCAAGTCCTTTGATTCTGTTTGTCATTTTCCACATCTTCTGCTTCCCCACCATACCCTTTATTACTACCCCAATACTCTCTCCTTCATCTCCCCGCCTGCGCATGCAGGCTAGTCTACATCAGTATCTCTAACACTCTGTAGCAGTTAACTGCTTATACCCCATTTCCACCTGGATTACTGCAGTGGTTTCTCACTAGTCTCCCTGCTTCTGGGTCTAGGCTCTGAGCAAGTCACCTTCCACATTGCTGTCATATATTCTAAAATATCCAACCTTTGTCTAAAATACCAGGATGTCTCCCATTGCCTACAGTGAAAAGAGCAAATTCCTTAGCCTAGCCAATGAGGCTCCTCTCTATCTCACAGCTTCATCCCGAGCCCTGACACCCCCTAACCATATGCTCCAACCTCAACAAACCATTTGTAGTTTCCTAATCTACAAGGCTGGCTCATGCCTTCTTGGTTTTGTTTGTTTGTGTGATTTTAAAAAAAATAAATACTGATTTTAGAGAGACAAAGGGAGAGAGAGATAGAAACATCAATGATGAGAGAGTCATTGATCGGCTGCCTCCTGCACGCCCCGCACTGGGGATTGAGCCACATGCCAGCCATGTGCCCTGACCAGGAATCGAACCGAGATCTCCTGGATCATAGGTCGACGCTCAACCGCTGAGCCACGCCAGCCAGGCTGCCTTCTTGGTTCTGCTCTTACTGCTTCCTCTAACAAAANTCTTACTGCTTCCTCTGACAAAAATGGATTTCCCTCACTGCTTCATCTCACATAAAATTAGTTTTCTTTCACAACATAGCTTAAATATCAATGAAGCTAGACTGATCATCTGTCCAGTCTTCCTTCTCTCGGAGAACTCACCTACCCTCACTGTCAATGGCACGGTGGGAAGCCAGCCATAGTCACATACAGCCGAGCTCATCCCTGCCACCAGGGCTTGCGTGTGACACAGGTTAGGCCAATCATACTCACTGCAGTACAGCTTGGTCTATGGGGTGACTAAATGACCCAAGCAGGACCAACACGAGACAGTTCTAGGGAAAGACACATGAATACTGGGAGAGAATAGCTCCCCTTCCACTGAGGATAAGCTGAGATGATGTACATCTGAATGGCAATTTCCCCCAAACACACTGAAGCAATGCATCCATGTTGGAGAAAGGTCAACATGCAGAGAAAAGCAGAGCTGAAAGTCAGAGAAAGAAGGACCCTAAAGACATTGTTTGAGTCCTAGATCTAGTTATGCGTCAAGCCAAAACCACCTCTGGGCTTCCTAAATTATACACA